TGGTTGGAGTTATAAAATAAAAGAATATAACTTAAAAAGAAAGCATTTTGCCTTATCAACAGGTTGCTTAAGATCAGCAAACTCTTAAAAAGTTCTTTGAAACCAATTTTAAAAAAGAAAAGACTTAAACTTAGGATAAACTTTCATTCGTATTGAAGTAAGACGAATATATCATATAGAACGAAGATATGCATATATTTAATACCCCTTGTTATTAAAGGCAATATAAATATTTTGATTCAATATCTTTTAAAGTTACCTGTTTTATTTTGTCACCTGTTTTAAGGTGCAAGCATTTTCAAATTGCGCTCGTTTTACTTTAAATATGTTTAAATATATACATACGAATATATATATGTATATATATCTGTACAGAGTGCTAATGACTTTTGTAAATTACAACAATTGTTGTTCTAATGTCTATCAAATAAGCAGCAAAATTGCATTCCGTATTACTAATCACGAATTTCAATTGCAAAACAAAATGTATATGTATAAATTGTTTGAATGTTCTAAAAGACTTGATTCGCGTGGATCTATAAAATCCGAACTAACTTTCAATTTGCGATTTACTTAATCGCGTCTAATGCCTTTTTGTGTCTGTCTTATTAAATGTTGTTGTTGTTGCTGTGTGTTGTTACAGCCGTGTATTGGTATGACAAATCGCATTCAGTTGGCCTATTGAAATAACTTGTTACGAAATGGAAAAACTTGAGCTCGAGCGTCACAATTGCCGCTTGTAGCTTATCGACAGATATTGAGGGCTCTGAGGGATAAGATAAGATAAACATGACCTGGACAATGTCTAAGCGAACAGTTCGTTTCATATCTTTATAAAGCATATCAAGTAATGCAGCACTATGTGGACAAATAAAAATGTTCCACATGATTCACACGTTTCTAAACTGAAGTAATTATGTAGTACTTTTCCAACATTAAAAGACTTGAGGATAACAAATCTTTAAGCCCCTTAACAAGTTGTGTCGGACATTATTTATTGAGTAATATATAAGATGTGCCATGAACATGTCTATATAAATAAATATGTATGAAAATATATATACACTTACAGAGCCATATAGGAGAGAGACAGTCTAGTCTAAAAAACACATCACTGAAACAACAAAAGAAGTAGAGAGTGTGTTAGAGTAAGAATTAAATTTATATTCGTGAGAATTGCATAGAAGGGCATATTTAAAAATACGTTTAACTTGATATCCATTTCCAAAATATGTTTAAATAAATTTAAAAATGAGTAAAAATGTGTTAAACAGGAATTAAAATAAAAGTAACAATTGCATAATAAACTATAGCATGACTAGAATTCAATCAATATAATCATAATTATACGAAATATAGTAATTATTTAAATTATTTCAAAATAAAAAGCAGAGAAATTAAATGATAAAATATAACTACTTTCAATTTGCAGTCATGTTTAACTTATGGAAAGCCCTCACCCGCCGTAAAACGGACGATGTGCATGAGAGTGAATCAAAGCTGGCCCGTGTGCTCAATCTCTTTGATCTGACGGCGCTCGGAGTGGGCAGCACATTGGGCCTGGGCGTCTATGTGCTGGCCGGCCAGGTGGCCTACAATATAGCGGGTCCAGCGGTGACCATATCCTTTCTGATAGCTGCCGTCGCCTCGGCATTTGCGGGCATTTGCTATGCAGAGTTTGCGGCACGTGTGCCCAAGGCGGGCAGCGCCTATGTGTACAGTTATGTGACCATTGGCGAGTTTGTAGCCTTCACCATTGGCTGGAACCTGATACTGGAGTATGTGATTGGCACAGCTTCGGTGGCACGCGGCCTGAGTGGTTACTTTGACTCGTTGATCGATAACAACATGTCCAAGGCGCTAAACGCAACAATGCCCATCAAGGTGAGCTTTCTGGGCGACTATCCGGACTTCTTGTCCTTCGGCATGGTCCTGCTGCTGGCCGCCCTGCTGGCCTTTGGCGCCAAGGAGTCCAGTTTCTTGAACAACATATTTACCACCGTTAATCTGGTGACCATTGGCATTGTGCTGGTTGCGGGTGGCATGAACGGTGAGTAATTAGTCTAGTATATCTATATTTTGATCACTGTTTATTTACGCTCTGCTTCCTCTCATTCACAGCCAATCCGGACAACTGGCGCATTCCAGCCGCCGATGTGCCCGAATGGGCTGGCACCGGCGGCTTCATGCCCTTCGGCATTGCTGGCGTGATGGCTGGTGCCGCGAAATGCTTCTATGGCTTTGTGGGCTTCGATTGCATTGCCACAACCGGCGAGGAGGCCATCAATCCCAAGAGGAATATACCTTTGGCCATTGTGATATCGCTGATCATAATCTTTCTGGCCTACTTTGGTGTGTCCACAGTGCTGACAATGATGCTGCCATATTATCTACAGGATCCGGATGCGCCATTCCCGAAAGCCTTCGATTCGGTCGAGTGGTATACGATCAAATGGATTGTGACGATCGGAGCTGTGTTTGCGCTATGCACCAGCCTGTTGGGCGCCATGTTCCCGCTGCCACGTATACTCTATGCCATGGGCAACGACGGCATTCTGTTCAAGCGTCTGGCCGATGTTCATCCATATACAAAGACGCCGCTGCTGGCGACAATAGTCTCGGGCATATTTGCAGCGGTTATGGCCATGTTATTCAACTTGGATCAATTGGTGGACATGATGTCCATTGGCACACTGCTCGCCTATACGATTGTGGCCATTTGTGTGCTGGTGCTGCGCTATCAGGATGAGCAGATGACCAAATTGGTCTCGGTGCGTGCCCCGAATGTCCTCCGTCAGCTGTTCTGCAACTCTTTCAAGGAGCCAAACACAATGACCTCGGGCATTACCAAAGTTGGCATTGTGGTGTTTGCCATCTTCGCCATCATTTGGTGCATCTTCATGAAGGTCTTCGAACTGCAGGCAACCGGCGGCATTGTCGCCCTCAGTATTGTCGGCCTGCTGCTCATCTGTATATGCATTGTGATTGGCATGCAGCCGGTGTCCACCATAGAGTTGACCTTTAAGGTGCCACTGGTGCCGTTTGTGCCCTGCCTGAGCGTTTTTGTCAACTTGTACCTGATGTTCCAGCTGGATTTGTACACCTGGATACGTTTCCTTATCTGGATTGCCATCGGCTTTATCATTTATTTTGCATACGGCATTCGCAAGTCCACACAGATCACACGTATCCGCAATCACGCCGAGGTGGCCGCCAATGCCATGCAGAATCCGGAACCATTGGAACAGCATGAGAATCGCGCCTTCGAGCCGGACTGGAAGGTTGAAAACGGCATCAAGGCCCTGCAGCCGCCCCCCTATGAGTACTCCGAAAAACTCTAAGTCGGCTCTCGGAGACTCAAACAAGTATTATAAGTTGCCTTGTAGATTTAAGCTGACCTCACACCTGACTTATAACTGAGCCGACAGAATTTTTATTCAGATTTTAATTCTTTTATTTTGCAATCAGTCAATCAATCAGTTTCTTCAGAAGTTGTCTTGCAATTTGTAAATAATTTAACCTTTCGATTAATTACTTTTTTTGTTGTTTATAAATCTTCCATTTAACATTAGTCGAAATCCGTCAATCAGGCTCCTTTAAGATTATAAATAGACATTTTGTTCCGATGAGTGGCATGTGTGAAGCCAGCTTAAGAAATTTAAAGTTAGTTGAGAACGATTTTCGCCCCGTAGCACCCCCCCCACTTATCTTGCTAGTAGCTTCATTTATACTCTGAGTTTAGCTTGCATGTGTTTGTGAGAGAGATGAATAGATTGCGCATAAAAATTAAATGATTCGCCTTGGACGCACGGGCAGCTCCTGTTCCAAGTGGAAGACTCGTGAGTTGCTGCGTTCGACGAGGCATTTGTTATTTTTATGCGCCAGAAATTTAGACACACACGACTTCCTGAAGGCCGCTTAATGCAGTCTTTTAAATTTCCTTTGATATTTTGTATTCGTATTTGATTTTTATTTTAGAGACTCATTTATGATTTTGTTTATTTTCTTTTTTTGTGAACTTTGCTGCCTTTCATTTCTGTACATAATGCCCCCATATTGTTGTGATATTTGTAAATATATATATATATAGATTTATAATGTTCGCATATATTTATATATATTTGTCACAATTCTTGTTGCCGTTATGTAAATGCAATTTGTATCATAATATTAATATTGTCATAGATTTTTATGCAATTTTACAATCCTAAGCTAGTTCTGTATTTAAGTTATTTAGCTGATAAGTTAATGCTCCTCCCTCCCCCAACAAGCGCCCTACCGAACACGTTTTATAATTTGTTCAATGAAAGAGAAACGAATTTTTTTCCCAAAAGTCATTTGTTAAATAAAACGATATGTACAAAAATTAAAATTGGTTTGATTATTGGATTGTAGCTATAAATCTTATCAAGTTAGACATAAAAATAGTTATAGCATGAATGTACTGTACCCCACCTGGAGCTCGTGCTATTTTCTTTTTGCTTATCTTATCGTTTAGATTTCATTTATAATCAAATAAGTCTTGACCAGCAACAAGACTTCGAGAATTGCCATGTCAGGATTAGCAGAAGAAACACCACATTATAAAGCTGTCAACCAACACAACACCACAATTGAGTTACAACTTAAAGGAACAATGAACTCTGAATATATCCAAACTCATAAATTTCTAACTTTATCATGGATTATATCGGACAATTGAGGAACCATCCTATATAAATTTTGTGCTTCACAAGATTTAAAGTCGATATAAGAATAAAATGTTATAAGATATTAATATCTTTCTGTGTTTATTATAGCGCTTTGCATAATGAACGAACACATTGACAATTGCATCTAAATTTGAACCGGCGCTTTCTCCCTTGCTAACTCAACGCAGACACTTAAGCCGCACAGGCTCATGAATTTACGCTTCCGCCAATTGCGCGGTCAAATTTTTCAAATCTCCGACTTTCAAGTCAAAAAGACGACAGCTTAGGCTGCCAGTCAAATTTTTCATACACTTAAATCTAGGTATCTAAACATTACCTATTTGAAAAATTTTTATTTTAATTTAAAAAAATTTGTAATAGGCACTCAGAATGCCCAAAAGTTTGGGTGCGCAGTTGTCGCGCCGCAAGGTCATCGATGATGATGGCCCCGCCTTGGCGCGTGTTCTCAGGCTCCACGATCTGACGGCGCTCGGAGTGGGCAGCACCTTGGGACTGGGCGTCTATGTGCTGGCTGGTCAGGTGGCTCGCAATATAGCGGGTCCAGCGGTTGGCATATGCTTTGCCATTGCGGCGGTGGCTTCGCTCTTTGCCGGTCTCTGTTACGCCGAGTTCGCGTCCCGCGTGCCACGTGCCGGCAGCGCCTACATCTACAGTTTTGTGACTATGGGTGAATTTGTGGCTTTTACCATTGGCTGGAATCTGGTGCTGGAGTATGTTGTCGGCACGGCGTCCGTGGCACGCGGCCTCACAAGCTATGTGGATGCGCTGGCGCAGTACAAGATTTCGGCAGCTCTGCAATCGATAATCTCATTCGATCTCAAGTATATGTCGAACTATCTGGACTTACTGTCCTTTACCATGATTCTGCTGCTGACCTGCCTGCTTGCGGTCGGTGCCAAAGAGTCTTCTTGGCTGAACAACATCTTTACCGTTCTCAACTTGGTAACCATTAGTCTTGTGATCGTTGCTGGCGCTACAAGGGGTAAACATTTGTCTGGACATAGAACCCGATTCACTTTTTCAGAATACCTCGCATCTTCTCAGCTGACATCGAAAACTGGGAACGCACGCCTAGCGAAGTGCCGGAAGGACATGGAACTGGTGGATTCATGCCATACGGCATTGTTGGTGTGATGGCGGGCGCAGCGAAGTGCTTTTATGGCTTCATTGGATTCGATTGCATTGCCTCCACCGGCGAGGAGGCCGTCAATCCCAAGCGTGACATACCCCTTGCGATTTTGATTTCGCTGCTAATCATCTTTTTAGCCTATTTCTTTATGGCCGTGGTCCTGACCATGATGATGCCCTATTACCATATCGATCCGTTTGCACCACTAACCAACGCCTTTGCTTATGTCAACATGAACATAATCAAATGGTGCGTAACTGTCGGCTCCTTGTCGGCACTTTGCACCGCCTTGCTGGGCGCCATGTTTCCGCTGCCGCGTATCCTTTATGCGATGGCACAGGATGGGCTCATGTTTCACTGCTTTTCGCGCATCCATCCGTGGACTAAGACGCCACTGATAGCCACTATTGTCTCAGGATTAGTCGCGGGTAAGTTTCCATTCTAGATATTTTTTATTTATTACTTTACAAATGCAGGGTATTGCAAACCAATCTTAAAAGGCTGTTCTTTCCCGTCTTTGCTTTCATTTTCCGTCCGCGGAACATTTAAAATTTACCCGTAATATTTTAAATTGTAAGTTATATTTTACATAGACCTTTGAAATTAAGCATCGAATAAGGGGTCAAGGTTTCCGCCCATTTAAGTTTTAAGTTTCGTGGTATAAAGTATCTCAAATGAATTTTCACAAAGATCTTTCGCCAATTTCCCACAGTCGGGAGTGGAATTTATCAGATCATCTTTCGGGTCATTCATCAGTTAGCAGGACAATCTACACTCGCTATTCTTCCCTTTTGTCTTGACAATCCCTGAGAGAGTGTTAGTGAGAGAAGGAGAACTTTCTCAAAACAGAAAACTTTTAATGCATTTTACTTTTTACTAAACTAGCAACAATTGCGATGCTTTTAAATCTGGATCAATTAATTGAACTGGGTACAATTGGTGTTATGCTGGCCTATACGATTGTCGCCATGGGCGTTGTAATGATGCACTATAAGGACGATGGAACCAATGCAGACTACGTGGTGGAAGTTAGCTTTTTCAAGGTGTTGCAACAGATATTCAATATATCACGCGAAAAGGTATCGAATGCCTTTACTGATTGCATTTCCCGCATTTTTCTGCTGATATACGTATTGCTCTGTGTGCTGTTTTGCACATACTTTAAGTTTCTGCATTGGAGAACAGTATACGGCATCATCCTATTGGGAACTACACTATTTCTAATGATATGCTGTATGTTGGTCATCTTTATGCAACCGAAGAGCACAGAGTTTCCAGTTTTCAAGGTGCCTCTGGTGCCATTCATACCCTGTCTCAGCATTCTGGTGAACATATTTTTGATGTTTCAACTGATGTCATTCACCTGGGTAGCCTATGGAGTCTGGATGCTAGTCGGTTATATCGCATATTTCGGGCTAATGGCGGTACATTTTTTAGTGATAGGCCTCACCATGAAATTGGCTGAAGGGCAATTCAGCAATTTAAAATTCGTGGTGTAAAATCGCAAAATTGTCAGAAGTACCAGATGTATTTTTTTTGTTCTAGAAACATTTTTAGTTATATTTGCTATAAGTATTTTCAACTCTATATATCTATTTTGATAGTGTATTGTATTGTAAGTGTATTGGCTAAAAAAATTAAAAAATACTCAGACCCGCATCAAAAGAAATAAATGTCGGAAAAAAAACTGCCATAGACTAGGCTTAAAACGGGTGGAGCTGCTGCATCCGACTTGGCTCCAAATAGTTGGCTAACCCGCTTAGTTAAATGGCAAATAAGCTGGCTTTGTGCCCTTTCGCACTTCTGTGAACGCAGTTGGGTACATAACAGAGGCAAGTCAAAAACACAAACTCGAGCCGAAAAGCCAGAGGAAAGTTGCAAGGATAATGCCAACACACACACACGCACACACACTCGCACACTTGTTATGTTGGAAAACGGTCAGCAAAGCGCCACTGAGAAAATAAAATCGTTTTGTGTATCTTTCTTTAGACACGCTTTTCATTTTTCCCATTCTACAGTGCTCATTTATTCATTTTCAAAGGATTTTCAAATACTGAGGCGTCAAAGTAACCGCCGTTGCTGTGTTTCTTGCAGTGTATTGTCACTTGACTTTTTGTATCTACTTTTGTATGCACATCTGCGTATGAATGCAATTTTTCACACGCTGTCATTTAGACAATTTGTTGCTTTTTTTTTGGATTCTGGCAAGATTTACTTTTTAGTTGGAGCAGCTTAGCCTTACAGCGGGACTAATCAAAAGATACTCAAATGCACAGTGTATATTCAATTATCTGCAATGCGCTTTATCTGCCGAGGCTTTGGCATTGTTAGATCTAAACTCAATCTAAACTGTAGTGAAGCACCAAAGCATATGAAAATATAAATACATATGAGTAGATACAAAATGTAATTGATAGGTAAATATCACGATGAACATACTTGATCGATAGAGAACGATAATTTTAAATTGTGCCGCTTGACCAACGTGGCGTATGCGTAATGCCGATGCGCCCGAATTGAATTACAATGCACGCTCAAGAGTATGAAATGCAATTTGCTGCACGCAGCAGATCAAATAATAAAATTGCCAACGTAATAGTGTGCAATGCCAGAAATACCAAAACAAACTATTTGACGCCCAATTGCCGCGTCGCAGTCTCGCAATGCCCTAACCGTGGGTTCGTTCATCCATAAAAGAGGCATGCTTTTTGTAGCTAATTTAAATAAATTTGCTTCAAATATGTATTTCAAATATAATATTGGACGAACCGAATACTATAGAAGAAGATAGCTCGACAAATGATAAATAAAACATCAGTTATTTTATGTTTAGTAACTGGACAAACATTTGGCTTTCAACTTTTCAGATTTGATTTCTCAAAATTTAATCCTATCTATTTTCCATTGAGAAAATTTTATGTATTTTTGATATTTTGTTTGGCCAGGTTAAAGTGCCACGTTAACCGATATTGCCCAAGCACCAGACCAAAACTCTTTAGAAGGCCACACACTCGCACACCACACACAACACACAAACAAACAAACGCACACACACGCACACGGCGAAAGGGATAGGCAAATACAAATACACACGTGACTGTAGCTGTAAATAAATAAACAATAATTTGAGCCACGTTTATGTACGAATGTATGCGTACGTTTGTAGGTGTGTGTGTGTGTGGAAGAGTGTGTGAGGGGGAGTGTGTGCTAGCATAAAATGTAAAATGAGAAAGCCCAACATGAGAAGTGGAGCTGTTGGAGGAGGCAGCGAGCTTGGCGCTCATTGCGCGTTGCGGTTTCATTTGTGAGTTTTAATTAAATACGTTTAAATATTTGTTATTTCCGACAGGCAGACAAACCAAACGACCATCAACAACAACAGCAACAACAACAACGGCAACAGCAAAGAGCTTCGGCAACAGCCACCTGGCAAATATTAGCGAAAAATTAGCAAAGTATTTTAAGCGCAACATGTTCGTCCTGTGGTTTTCAGCATCAAATCCTCTGGCTGCATCCTCATGTGGCTCCAGTTCCAATGTAAGTGGAGCCCTGCGTCTATGTTGGGTCTGTGTATTGGGTGTATACACACACACACACACACACACACGCACACACCCTCACGAACACACATCATTTTGTGTGTTGTGCGCTTGTTGCGTGTGCATTTCATTTATTTATAAATAACGCATAATTAATTTAAAATGCGTGCCTGAAATTGCCGTTAAGTGCTTAATCCTGTAAAATGCAACTGGACACGCACCTAAACAGACAATTTTCTGGAATCCACGTGTTTCAAAATTCATTCTAAACAATGCAGCTGCCGAAATGAATGGCTTATCATCTTTAATACACTAATTGCGAAGGTCTCCCCAAAATGTTTATGCGCAAATAGTTATGCGAGAGGAGAGTTATACTTATGGGAGGAGCACGATCAGCGCAATTTTTGTTGATTATTAAAAAATTTTAATTATACTAGAGAATTTCTTAGTCATAAAATGAATTGAATTCTTAAGAGATTACTGAGAAAACTTGTGTTCAGAATCACAGCTAGAGTTTGCAGTCCCCCAAAATAGTTTTAATTAGTTAAGTATCTATCTATCCACAAGTATCTATCTTATCTAATTAGGACTGTTTCGAGAGACAGCGAACTTGAACTGTATTTCTGAACCCAAATTTTCTCATACATACTATTAAATAATTATAATATAACCATATAAGATCATATAAATATCCATATCTTACATCTATTAACCTTTTCAACAGACTTTGGCTCGGTTACCAAAACTAAAAAAGAAAACAATGCAATTTTCAAAAAATGTTTTTAGAATTTCTATAGAAAAAGAAGCAGGAGTGCGCGACTAGCAGATACCCTGCAGTTTGCACGGTATAAATAAGGCATCCAAAATGTGTGTGAATACTAAAGCCCAAGTCTAACTAAGGCCCTTATAAATGGGTTTTGTTTTTTTTTCTTTTAGTTTTAGGGAAACGGGTTGAGGTATCCAAAAAGTTAAACATTCTGATTCTGTGTTAGCTATGCGAGAGTCTGCAAACCAAATTTAATGTCTCTAGATCTTCATGTAAACCGAAACATTTTATGATAATTTTAAACAGACTTGATCTGAGCGGGCCATATGTTCTATAGTCTCTGAGAAGGACTTATTCATACACATGGACAAATAGACGGACGGACGAACACACAAAGAGACAGAAGGACTTGTCTCGATCGACTCGGCCATTGATGCTGAGTAAGGAAATATGTACTTTATGGAGTCGGAGATGCCTCCTTCTGCCTGCTACATACATTTGCACAAAAACAATATACCCTATTTAACCATTTTCAATGGGTAAACGGCTACAAAAAGATTAATTCGTTAATCTAAGGTAAGTTAAAAAAACCACCATGTCACATAATATTCTATTTATTTGCATATAATATATATTTGATCTCATTTATATGAAATGAAAATCCGTTACATAAGTTTTTTAATATTTTCTGGCTTTTTCAAAAAGCGTAATCAACTCTTTTTTGATTTGTTTACCAACTCGTTAAGCCCTTTTTCTAATTACAAAAAAATCACCAGCTAATTAATCAATGAAATAACTAAAGTCAATTACAACTACAAATATTGAAGAGCTCTCGAAAAACCTATTTGTTAGCCAGTGAGGAGTAGGGTCAAATAAACTAAAGCCATAATGATTCCTGAATACCGCTGCTTGATGGCATTTTGGGCCTAACCTCTCGCTCCTCTGACTGTTTAGTTTGGCCTCAAAAATTGTCAAAGTCGAAAAGTTAGAAATTTTACATGCGGTCAAATTAACTTTCATCGCGTATAAAATTGTGCGACCACAACTCGAAATAAGTTTTAAAAATTTAATTTTAAATACCAGGGCAGCGCTTGGTGGTTGAGGGGGGAGGGGGCTGGGCGTATGCTGGTATAATAGGCCGATCTGCATCAATTAAGAAAATAATCCGCGCATTATGCGAATAGTATATAAATATTATTTGACAGCAGCCCAGTGGCAAAAACTGTCGTCGAGTGGTCAAAAGTGCAACAGGAGACAGGAGACGGGAGATGTGAGAGCGGGAGAGCGGGGGACAGTTCGGCAATCCGGGTCGGGGATTAAGGGACCATTATGCGAACATTTTCAACATATGCTAAACGAGCGGAAAAAAACTCCTCCTGAACCATGTCATGTGGCGGTCGCAAATGATGTTGCTGATGAGGGCAGAGAATGCGGATGCGAATGCGGATGCAAATGCGGATGCAAATGCGGATGTTTTGGGGCAGTTGATGATAATGATGATGACAGGTGTTTCATGAAGTACACATGACATTTATGAACTGCAAGGACACACAATAAATATGCTTCGCTAACGGCGATTATTGGTAGAAGGAAAAAAAACAGATTACTTTCTGGGTTAGTTGGAAATGCTGCAGAGTATGGATAAAGAAACAACAGATAAAGATATAATATATATATAAAAACTAGGCTTTAGTTGAAAATATACAAATTTCTACGTCAAAAAGTTATTTTAATGTTTATTTCAATTAATTAAATCCCAGACAACTAATCTAATATTTGAAAAAAAGGAAAGTTCGTTAAAATCATCAATAAGTTTTCAATTATTAAAAAAAAATCCAAGCTGATCAGTTTTCTAGATTTTTATCTAGAAAATCTTTTTTATAGGTAAAAAGTAATCAAGTTTAAAATCTCTTCGGAGATATTCTGATGTGATGATTATTAAATGAATTCGGTTAAAATTAATTCGAGGCTCTATCACTTTAAATATAATTAAATAAGGGACAGATACAAATGGTGTACAAATTAATTATCCTTCTAGCATTTTGTTATTTATTTCGAAAGGATTATTTTATGCTGATTCCGTTTATTTTTATGGTATTTGTTTTTGTTTGTACCGGCACATGCGAATTTCCGTGAATTGTCCATGACAAACTATTTTGATATATTTTTGATCTTTTTATTATGGTCATCAAAGTATACATATTATCAAAGCCCCGCTTCCCCCGCGTCTTCTCGCATCATGCGCTGTTGATTTGATTTACACCAAA